TGGATTTTGCTAAGCCTTCGCAGACTTTGGCAAACTTTGAATCCGTAACGTTCCGCAAAGTTTTTGACATTTTCGTAGACTTTCGCAGACTTCCGTGGACTTTTGTATGTCTCTGCCGACTTTTCTAAATCTTCGTAAACCTTCGCAAACTGAGTCAAATAACTTTATTCTCATTCTATTGTTTGAAATAGTTGCTCAAAATGTACAGAGTTCGACGCGTTTTAAAATATAATGATTAATGGTTGCTTTAAGACTGATAGCTTTGAATGCGTCTACATGGTTCCAGAGTTAGACGGTTTCTTTGATCGACACCCTGTATATATAGTGGCACTCGAAGGGACGATATCATCGTAAATAATGAGGAACCAGGTATCTAGAAACTTGATTTCACCGTACCGCGCGCCCGCATCTAAGGCAAACGAATTTCATCGGCATTGACCTTTCACGTTGTCCTCCATACGGAACACAACATCGACATACCTTTCCCTAATTAAAACGCCATCTTTGAATAGAAAGAAAGAAACGCTTCTTATTTAATGTAACCTCAATGAATATACTTATAACCCTCTCTACGATAAACTTTGGAGAAGTTTAACAGTTCGACTGTCTTATCACTCGAATTTAGGTGACAACTTTTTCATTAACATTAAAGAATAATTTTCATAATGATTTATTGAATGAATCAAATTTCATTAAAACCCACAAAATCTGTCAAAGTTAAAAAAATAATGGCTACAATGGTAACGTTATTTTCTGTTCCAAGTAAATTCGACTTTATTTGTTTTCTATTAGTCACTTTGATCAGCATGTTAATGAAGAACCTTTTAAAAGTTCTTTCAGAATATTCGAATACTCAGTGAATTCTTGAAGCTTGGAGAAAAATTCGAGCCAGAGATTTACAGGTTTGTTGCCTAGCAATCAAAGAGGCTACTAAAAGTAGTTTTAACATCGGTACCAATTAATTATACTGAAGAATCTGAAAGTGACTCAACATTGGCATTTTGCGGTACAAAGTTACGCCAAGGTTGTGTCGTGATAGGCCGTTCAACTCGTCTTGATTTCGTCTACACCGTGGCGTAGTAAAAAGCGTATAATCCTATGCAAGGAAACGTCTATGTCCTTGGAGTAACGCTGGAGATGACCTTGGGAAGACATTTATCATTGCCGGATGTGCGTCCTCCTCGAACTACGTGTACTCCTCATGGTCTCTTTCTCTTGCTTTCAATAATAGCGGAAATAATTTAAATGCTCCATATAAGTACCGTGGCGGACGAAAGTAATTGTGCCGCACAAAAAGTCTAATGGACCGTGAACGAATAATTTTGTTTTAATGGGCAGCCTGTAACGTCCACGTTAACGTTTCGCTGAAGATTCTTGTATCCTCCAATGTGCCAACGGTCGAACAGAAATTCAGCGTTGTTACACCTTGACCGAGTAAGAGTACTTGTATATCATCTGATTCATAGTTGAAGAGTATTTATAGAAAAGATTGTAAATGTCGGATTTCAAATTTCTTAAAAGGAAAGGAAGAGTTGTATAAAGTTACGTTGACTGTATTTTATCGTTATGAAATTGTACGTAAGTAAATACTACAAGATAATAGATGGTCGAACGTTTTGAACATCAAGGGTTAAAGTTTTTGTAAAAAATGTCCAATTTTGGCGTTTGCAGTATCTTTTAGGAAAATTTTTTCCATTTTGCTTGGCTCATTGACGACGAAACGAACAATTTCCATCGAATCCGTTTCCAGTATACTTCAACCGTGATATAAGAAATTGTTCACTGGAATTTCCGGTTTCCACCGCCACAATTTCGCGCGACGGCCATCGTACGGTAGTATAATTTCATACGACGACACTGTTACGCGTGTCCAACGTCCGAACATTTCGTAATGTGGCGGCGAACGGGACCACCAGCGAAACACGTGATACGAACGATCGAAAAACAATGTTAGACTTGCAATCAATATTTTCGAATTCAGTTTAAAAAACATGAATATTGTTGATATTTTCATAGTAAAAATCTTACTTACTTATTATCTTACTTAAGTCAGTAAGTACTAAACTTAGTAAGTACTAAAATCAAACTTGCAATGAAAGTAGAGTTCTTACATGTTTGAGTAAAGTTCGAAAAATATCTAATTAACTTCTCAATATTAGAAGTATCGTGATCGACAATTTAGTTTAGTTCGTCGACAATCAGCGACGCTTCTCGAAGGCGTACGTTTTTTACGGCGCGGAAACACGTCGCGTGCGATTTTGTTTGTAGGCAGTTAGTCGTTTTAAGTCACTTCATGTGAACGCTCGAGGCGTCGAGGTTCTTCCCTTACGTATTCTGTGTAACTGTTTAAATATATAAATATTTGTTCTGTTATCTTATGTTTCATTAATCGCCTACTACAAATTCGCCTCCCCAATTATATCGTGGCTACGTACAATCAGCCTAACTTCTAATTTTGTAAAAGGAAAAATCTGTTTACGACACATTCGTGATTTCGTTTGAGCGGCGGCGTCGCAACGGAGATAAGGATCGTCTGGTTTTTACTTTTCTTTCTGTGGGCAATAAAGCGAGGTAGATCTTAATTACTTGTCCCATAAACTTCATGAACCGCGCAACGTAAACTCTGCGAAACCGACGATTTTCCATGGCGTCCTTTTGAAAGATGGCGTCGCGTCTACTGTCGGTACATATATACACAGTGATCTACTTATTGGATCTGATAATTAGGAGGAAAAAACAGGTGGAAATTGTGGGTAAGGGAATACGAGTATCAGTGACGTCACGTATACTAACTGTACACGCTGCTTAAATGCGTAAAGATTGCTGGTGTTATACAGATTAATCAACAGTGACGAAAGTGATATTAAAACACGTATGAGTAACTTTGAATAATAGTGATTCAACTCCTATTTCTAAGATTTCGAGAAGAAAAAAGTTTCGCGAAGCGTTCTTAGGGTAATTAAATATTAATGTTACAGTTACTAACATTAGTATTATTTATAATTATTATTAGGAATAATATAGTAGTATTAGAATTAAATACTAGTTTTCAGTAATTGAATACTAATATTACAGTTACTAATATTGGTGATCGGTAACAGTCAGTACTATTAATAACACTGCAATATTAATATTTAATTCATTCAAGAACAGTTTAAAAAACCTTTTTGTCTTGAGAACTCGGAGATGATAGATCGACCTCCGCTATTCTGAACCATTCATATACAAGTTAGTAGGTCACGAATTTATGTTTGTTTTATTTTGAAAAATAATGATAGGCAAAACTGTTTTTAATTTGAAACATATTCTACTTCAATGTTTATAAATTGTCTATCTATATATTATAGTTATTTAAACAAAAGTTTGGTCTATTTTTATTTTTAGAAGTAGAAAAAACTATAAAACTTATAATCCTATCGACTTGATTTTGCTTACATTCGATCTAGAATACATATAAAACAGTATTATTATCAATAAAAAATGATTTTAGAGTGTTTTCCTCGTAATCCGACAATCTAGAGTATTCGAAGTAGATTACTATACAGCGGTTGGCCGTCCTTTTCACGGCCATCGGGATGTATGTACTCTTAGCTTCCTCACGGTAAAACCAGGTCGCGCGTGAATCTCAGCCGTGAACAAGGATAATCAATTACGAGACAGATGACTTCGCCATGCCCTGTTTAGTCTCTCGCCCGCTGACAACCCACATGACAACCGACTCGAGACTCTTTCGGTTTCGAAAAGAGAAACGTGTCGCTGCATAGATGCGAGTTTATTTCTGCAGTTGACGATATTAAACATTTTGCACTCGAAAGTATTTTGAGTTATACTGTAACGCACGATATTGTTACAATATGGTACGTTGACGATAATAAGTACAAAATTTAATATTGAACGTTGATTTACTCGATGTAATTGAATAACTGAATTCAATTTCATATAGAGTACTATGCTCTTGTCAGTATATTAACCCTTTGCGGTCAAATGCCACATAATGGCGACATCGAGCTTCCATATCTGAAATCGAAAGCTGCAAATAAATCATTTCATTGTTCAAATAACAAGAGACTGATACGTGGTTTTCTTCTTTTCTAGTATTAGAGATGCATTTTTAATTTTTTATGGGAAGAGTCTCTAAAACTGTTGAAAATGCTCGTTCGCAAAGGGTTAATGTTGTGAACAAATTTGGTATTGAATACCATACTATTGTCCCTATATTAATACTATAAAGAAATTTAATATTGAATACCAAACGTTAGAAGTTTGTTGTATGGAAAAAAGTAACGATTGAGAGTCGAGTGCGAAAAGATAACATTTTATTTTTCCTTTTTTTCGTTTCGATTTAAAATTGAATTTTTCCGGAATAAATCGAACAAACTGAACTCAGTTTTGTATATCAAATGCAAGAAGATTTCGATTGTTGTTTTGTCTGTACGAGTAATTTAATGGGCGCCGATTTATCGGCTAACATATTAATAGACTTTTCAATGACTTACAACCTGATATTGTTAAGCGGCTTAATGACTCTCTTTCGTCGGTAGTCCTTGAATAATAGATAGACTATGTTACTCAATACGATTCGCCGATGCAGGTTTGTAATTGCTATTGCCATTGAAAGTTTGATTAAGAAATCCATGGGCATTGATTATTAATCTTCAATAAACTGTTCAATAACTGCCGGCACATAACGTACCGAAGATTGATGATTAAAGCGTGAAGATTTCATGATGAACTTTTCAGTAGCCAAACCAATTACGATTCCGAATCAATAAATACTGTTTAGTAATTCAATTTCATTACTCCTTTTGGGCCTGGTGTTTGAAGAAAATGACCAATCATCTTCTCGATTTACATATATCATTATTGTTTATTACTCATAAATAATTTTCGATTCGAAATCCCATATTCCTATCCCATAATTTCCACGAAAAAGGTATACAGTTCGATTTACCACGTAATTAACATAATAAACCAGATAATTCGCCATACAAAAATCACTTGACGTTCCATAATAAAATTCTCTTCCATCTTTCATTGTTTCTAAATCTACAGTTAAACTTCAATTACATCTACGATTGAAAAATCAAATCTCACATTCGATTATACGGTGCCTTATATGTAGTATTTATATTTACGAGCTACTGATAAGCCTAACGCGTTCCATTATTACCTTTACGATTTTGATTTCCATCGTGCCCGACGAACCAATCAAATCGCCAGTTGTTCTCACTGCAGTTCTTATTTCCAGGACCATCGAACTGATCGCGCTCATAGCGATTTCCAGCACGCTGTTTCTCTTCCTGCACACCAGAGAGCTTCATTCCCGGCTGCGAAAAATGGAGGTGCGCCTTCAGCCCAGCGAAGACGAGATGCTGTCGGCGAATCAACTCTCGTACGGTGAGTTTACAGATTTATCTCCTCCCGCGTATGTAATTTGCATACCTCTGAATGCGATTCAACATTTCGCCCGTAATGCAGACACGAAGATTGGATGCTTTTCGAGGCCCTTTGCTGTCCGGTAAACACAGTACTTATTAAGAATACGTTTCAGTCGATGTAACACAAATGAATGCGAACGACGAGAATGTAGAATAATTGAACAGTGGTAAGGCTGCGTCATCTTCTGTTCAACATTGAGTTCGAGCTGAGATTGAGTTGACTCTTTGGATTTGATGGAAATATTCAATGTTCTTTGTTCAGATGTTTTTTGAAATTGGCTATAACATACATTAAATATTAAATATCGATGCACTAGATGGAGATTAATATTGAGTATCGAATATTAAAATTTTGCTGTGTCCAATTAAGTAGAAACTGAAAGTTGCCGTTCGAGTGCAAAGGGTGGTGCAGTTGGAAAGGAATGGTGTGAAAATATAAATTGAAGATAAACGATAAAAAAATATTACTGGAAATAAGTCGTAAGAAACTACGATTCGAAAGGAATCGTAGAAAAATCTAATTTATAATACGTAATAAGACTGCGTTGATTTTCACGAAATATTTTGCGCTAAAAGTATAATTGGAAAGAAACGGTAAAAAAATATAATTTTAAAAAAGGGTAAAAAATATCACTGAGAAGAAACGGTAAAAGGTATCGTTGAAAAGAAATGATAAAACTGTATGGACTTCTTCTTATCGGTCTTTGGCATTTTGTGTACCGAATGAGTCACAGTGGCAATCTATTCAGCACATGATTTATCAACGAGACTGTCGGAAATGTTAAATTCTTTCGAATGGTGTCCATGTTGCTCTGCCAGCCACAGTTCACACTATTTGTAGCTGAATTCGAGGAAGCTCGCTATCGTTCCCATTTACAACCCCTTAGACGTCGCATGGCGAACCATCGTCCAGATGATAATTCCGAGAAGAGTGGTTCAGCGTTTGCACTCAGCATCGAGTCGTAAATGTTCGTGAAAGATGCATAATATATGTAAAGTGTACCGGAACATGTAGGTGTAACTTTAATCCTGGGAGAGGAATAAATTAATTGCAAAATGAGTATATATAAATAGAAATGTAATGTATATAATATATAAAAATATAATAAATATTATATACGTACATTATGTATTATATGTTATTTATATATACAAATAAGTGTATTGTTTCGAGGAGGATAAAAAAAGAATGAATAATCTTGTACAAGATATTTTACGTACATAGGACGAAACATAAATTTTTCAACAAGAACACTCAGGTATAGTTATTTATATACTTCATGTAAATCTACTCATGATACTTTAATATCACAAATGTGACTTCAAGTGGAATTAGAAGTGAGGTATAAGGATGAAACGTAAATCTTGATACATAAATCGATGCAACTCCCCATTTCCTATAAAAAGAGAAAATGTCCACGTTGCATAGGTGATTGACGCAAAGAAGCATACTTCTGCAATGCTTCTAATCTAGCAGTTCTATAAATAATTGGTCAACTGATTGTCGTGAAAGAGAGAAATTCGAAATTGGACATTTTCGAGGCTGTGTGACACCGGGGTTTCACTTCAATCGTTCGTACTATGGCGAGTACGGTGAGACTTATCGAAGAATTTCAATGTCTCGAAAGTCACGAATTGCTCGCGGAACGACAACTTTCCTATTCGGGAAACAGATAGCTGTAGTCCGTGACAAATCGCGTGATGCATCGCATCCATAGGAATTCTTCGAAATCCAGCGGACTCATCGGTGCTGGATCCTGTGAGAGTTGAGACGAGTGGACGGTGCTATAATGCAGAGCCTCGCCGCTGCGTGAAACTCGATATACGGGGTGACTCGAATGGTACTGAAGACCGATTAAGGTAAACAACTAGATAACCAGTTAAGGCTACAGGACCAGTGTATTTATATTTCAAATTAATATATTACATATTACATATTTCAAATTAATATATTACATATTACATATTTCAAATTAATATATTACATATTACATATTACATATTACATATTACATATTACATATTACATATTACGTATTACATGTTTATATTTATATAAGTTTAACTGGTTAATTATTGGCGCATTTACCTTAGGAATTCTATACACAGAAATAAGATGAAAGTATAAAATGAAATCTTATTATATGAGTCTCCGAGAAAATTAATTTAGAATATTCATCGACCACCTGTGCAATTGTTTAAATACCAACTAAATAAACAGAAGATACAAAATGAACGGGCGATTAGTAGACTACAGGTGACTATATATAATAATAAGTAAACAATACACAATGAAATTTTCCCATTTGTATGGATTTTTTAAGAAAAAAGTAAATCAGTTTCGCCGTAATTAGCTAGCTGCGCTCGCATTGTAGTGTACTTACGAATAAATGAGTTTGTCTGATAATATCCAGCAAGAACTCTTCCACCGTTTTTCTACGATAGTAAACCGGGGAAAATAAAAATGGGTCATTTTAACTCGGTTAGTAGTTCTAACGTGAATTGCATCGAATGCTACTATATTAATTAATATATTAATTGCAAGTGTCACTGAATGAAACGATTAACCGGCAATGAGTGAATCGTGCAAATGAAATACTCTGGCTTGAAATGTTTATTTGCACCTTTTTAATGGGGCAACGCTAAAAAAAGGCAACTGGTCGGTAATTGAAACGTAGAATGGGGACGTTTGCCTTATTTGTCGGTTGTCAACTTACTTTCCTTGTCACGAAATTGAGACCAACGCAACGTTTTCTCCTGTAACTAATTAAAGTTATCTCGTCGGATGCTTATTTGTAACAAACGAAGAGTCGGGACGCGTTCTTTGCGGGTACTGACAGAGATCCGAGCAAAAAATTGATCGGCAGAACACGTATTGAATTAATTTCAGTAGCGATTGCGCATTGAATTTAAATAATAGGTGTGTTCGAGTTAACGTGACTTGATTATTAAACCGCTCGAAATGCATGTTACCGCTAACATGCGAATAATAAAGCGGTTGAAATGATTTATTGCTCCACATTGCTTTTCACCCTTATTTCGAATTAAATTACATTATTCCGAATTATTATTTTTTACATTTATTTCGTGGAAAATTACTTCAACCATCTTATAAAATTATTCGTTGCTCTAAATTCTTATTTTTTATCTCTATTTCAAATAAAATTATCTTAATCGTGTTATTGTGATTCATTGTTATTTATATTAGTGTTATTTATTGTGGTTTATTGTTTCAAATTGTTGCTATTCATATTACTGTAATTTATTGTTACTTATGTTATTGTTATGTACTACAATGTAGTATTTCAAATTGTTGCCTTTCATATTATTGTAATCTACTGTTATTTATGTTGTTACTTTATTGTGATTTATTACTTCAATTTGCTGTTTTTCGTCCTCAAGCCAAAGAAATTTTACTTGAGCTTAGTTCCATTTGCGACACGAATGAGCTCATACGCGCGACCGAGAGGTATCCTTGTTCCTCCGTGAAGGATCAGACTTCCCGGTTGAAGAAGGTCAAGGTGTGAGAGTGAACGTACTAAGTAAGTACTCACTTACACGTTGGTCGTCGGAGAGGGGAGCATGTATTTTCACGTCTGCTCCGGTCCCGTATATGTGTATCATTAGATTATTATCTTTCCAGTGGGTAGCATTATGTAACGGGACCGCGAAATTCATTTTATATCAAATAAGCTAATTAGTCAACGTCGAGTCTCCTGCGTATCATTTTCACGATGCTACTCTTTCTTCTAATCTGCATCAAATGGTATTACTAAGCGACCGTTATGTTGATTGATGAACTTTCGCTGTTTCTTTCTCGCGAATCAAGTTTTAAAAAGGGAAAGTGTACTTAGAATGTAAATACGCGATGATCACTTTTAGTTTCCAAAGTTGAATCTACATATCTGATTCGGTGGATATTTGGAAATAATTCATTTATTCTTTTTGATATGATGGAAAGTAGTTATAGAAATAGTGAATGCAGTTGAACTGTGATGATTCTAACCTCTACAATTCAAAAGCACGTATAACATGTGTAATTTCTTTCTTTCCTTCTGTTACGCTATAAAAAGTTCTACAACTCGTAACATAAAACTTCGTATTATTTCTCTCGCGTTTAATATGTATTTCATCTCAGCTATTCGACATTCACATTCACAAATACGCCCAATCGTTAGAAAATCTCAATAATTCGAATTTTCGTTTATTAAATTTTCCCTCGAAAACTCGATGAAACTACAGCTCGGCGTTCTTACATACTTTCTAGCGATTCAACTAGCCAGATTCGGTTGTAGATAGAACCGACATGCCAAAACGAAGAATCCTTTCAGAGGAAAATCCAAAAGATTCGAAATTAAAAAAATTTCAAGTTCAAAAGACAAAACGAAACACCAACGGAACCGTGTCCCAAACTACTATCCTGAAGTCAAATTTGAGGATCACTGGGAGAAAGCTGCAGTTTCCAAGAGTCAGTGCTTCAACCAAGAATTATACTTCGTTCCGTTACAAATTATGCAAATTGTTCGAAACGCTAATAAACAATAATAAACAATTGATCGATCGATCCCGATCGAGGCGAAGATTTCGCTGTGCCTCGCGCGAGTCGAGATAGCAGCCAGAGATAAAACGTAATCGGAGCAGCCGCCAATTTAGAATAGGCACTCCGGATAACGCGGTTCGTAATAAGGAGGCGGAACGGTTCGTCTTAATATTTTAATATAGCTCCCGGTGAGAAATGTTTATAACTGAATCGCTTCGCCGCCGGAATGCCGGCGACGATCCTCCCATTAAGCTCGCGGCCTGCCGGTCTATTCGCATAATAAGCTGTATTCTACCGTACGTGTAATCAACGAGTTTGGTTCATTAGGAATGTTGATAATCAAGCGAGCGCGGAGGAAAAGGATTTTTAATGAATCGCTGGCCACGGTTCAATCGAGCGGGACCATTCAAGCGTCTTGCCACGGCAGTAACAATGGCAAGGGATCGATTTTTAGGAAAATTTTTACACGAAGTTGATTAAGGACTCGAGAATTTGATTTGCTTGCTTGCCCTTTGTAAAGTGAAGTTTTCAAGATGCGGAAGATATGTTTGTTTTATTGTGTCAGGCATTGTT